CCCACCCTGGGAGTCAGCAGCTGGAAATTCCCTTGTGGGGAGAAATGAGATCATGTTGGTCAAAGGCTTTCAGAGGCAACTGCTGAAGGAATCACCCTGTGCCAAGTGATCCCAATATTGGAGGCAGTTAGCACTTAAAAAGGGGAGGGAAAAAGAGAGAGAAAAAAAAAAAACAAAACTAATCCATTAACCCCAAAGTAATTTTTTTTCTCCTCATCTGGAGTGCTAAAACCAGTGATGCTTTGCAGATGGACTGAGATCTCGTTTCTTCTGCTTATATCCAAGCCTCTGCCAGAAGCTGCTGTAGCAATATTTTAGAATAAATATCCAGGTCTGTCTTGAAGGGGGGATACATTTATTATCTTTGTCATTGCTCTCCTCAAGAAATACATCAGGTCATCCAAAGATTATCCAGTCTGCTCTCCAGAAAGGGAGGATAGAAAGCAGTTCATGCAGACAGAGCACCGGTGTCTTCTCCCACTTGCAGTTTTCAGACTAAACAGGGCAATCCTTTTAGAGAAAGAATTTGTCAGGGAATTTTAAAATAAAAGAACGATGACTTTTGGCAGGGCCGCTATAAATCAGCCATCCTAGAAACCTGAGACATAAGAGATCACGATCCCAAAACATCCCGTCTTTGGCAGTTTCCTTTATCAGTAGTAGCCGAAAAGGCACATACAATGAGGGATCCTATTTGGAGAGCAAAAGCCATCACAGAACCACTGCTAGACAGGCAAGTTGTATTGCAGACCATGTCGTTCCATCTAGAGTTCCTGTTGTTGCTTAGATCGGCGTGGGTGGAGTCCATGCAGCATCATGGCGTTAGGAGAGGTTTGTTGCTGTTGAGCTTACACAGAGGCCGCACGCGTGACAACATGGTTGTACAGTATGCTCTGAAACCTTAGGGAAAGCCACCCTTCAATTAGGAGCACACAAACCCCAAGACTGAACATGTTGGATTGGGGTTGAGCCTCTAATGGCTTTACCTGACAAATCCCTTCATTTCTTCATATTTTTTGTACTCCTTTTCTTCCCCCTGCATCTCAGACCCAGCCCTCCCAGGCAAAGTTGGCTTGCACTTTGTGGAGGTGTGAAGCTTGCCACCCACTGTAGTAGAGCCAGCACTGATAAGCACACGTGTGACACATGGGACAGGTGAGATGTGTTTGAACAAGAGGTGAGATTCCTTTGTGATTTGAGATTCAGGCATTGACTCAGAACTTTCATCTTCTCAAAGCTGCCACCTGCCCTTTTTAAATGGCCTTGGAGCCTCAAGACTTGACAGGAAAATCATTATTTCTGTTGATTACTGTTTGATCACTGTGCACTCTCCTGGGGCTTGAATCACTGGATATAGAGACTGGCACGGGGTCACAGAGCTTTATATCAAAGTGTTTTCCCATCGATGTCCAATTCTTTCCATCTGGAAGGGACACCTTTCTGCTTGTCAGCAGACGTGGTGATGTCCTGCAGGTGGGACCTGGGATGTGGCATCCACGCTCCCCGGTGGTGATGCTGAGCCCATGGCAGCAGTAGCAGGTTGCTTTGCCACTCTTGGGATGGGATCCGTCCTCTGACCTGGTTCCTGCTGTCAGCTCAGGGGTAGGACCACCTTACACAGCTGTTTCGGAGTTACCCTTTAGTGTTATCGGGTCAATTGCTTTCACTTCAGTGTCTCCTTGGGGATTTGCCCTGGATTTCCGTTCCACGCCTCTCGTTAAGCCTCACCTTCACCACTCCACTATTTTATATGAGAAAGTTACTTCTTCTTTTGCAAAACTGCTTCTAATTAAAAGAACCCTTTTGGAATGCGTGTGCCTTTGGTACTTTTATTGAGGGGTGGGATGAGGGGTGGTGGGGAGAAAATGTTTTCAAACCACTTCTGTTATTTTTGGCTAGAAGAAATGGTTTGGTACCTTGCCAGAGTATTCACGATTTAACAGCTCAGGACAGTGAAAATGTAACACAGGCTGAAATTCCACGCTGTTAGTTCTGGGCTATAAAATCTTATAATCCCTCGCTGCTTTTCAGCTCAAACGAAGCTCTCAAATCGTTTACACCCAAAATTTGGTCAGCCTGAAATTTGTGGTGTTCAGTGGTGATAAACTTCCTCCCGGATGAGCTGAAACCCATTGGGGCTGCTGGTTTGTGTGCTTTGGTTGTCCCTGCAGGGTGGGAGCAGCCGTTATTCAGGTCCCACAGGGGTGCTGGTGGCAGTGGGCTGGATCCTACCTCCTGTAAACCCATGCAGCCATTAGAATGGGAGGTGACTGTGGCTTTTCCCTGGCAGGGAAGCAAACCACATGCAGGCAGGTTGGCTGCAGCCCTGCTGGAAAAGGTGAGAGGTGGGAAATCATTGCTTTCCAAGGGCTGGGAGTCAAACTGCTAAGGAAACAACTCTTGTTTTCCTGCTCCTGAAAGGGTTACTGTAAACAATGCAGTGTTAGATAAATACAGGCACCCCCCTGACCGGTGGCATGTAATAACTTAGAGGTATCAATGTACCCATTTTGAAGATGAAAATCCTCACACTGTAGAATTTTGTGAACAAGGCATTATTCTGCAAAATTGCCAGAACACGCAGCAGTACTTTTTTTGAGGTCATTCAGCCCCAAAATGCATCATCCTCTGCTTCCAGCCCTCGCTCTGCTCTGGATACGTTTCCTTCGTACATGTTTTTATGGTTAGGAATGGAGCACGGACATAAACACTGGAATGGATGGGAAATCTGCCATGGCATTTGTAGCCTAAACAATACCAGAGCACACAGACTGACTTCCTGCCCTGCCTTGAGCAGCACAGGCAATGGCTTGACTGAATCAAGCAATCAGGGCTTTCACTGCTGACCCTTTTCCTGCTATTTGTCTCATTTGTTTCCTCTTCTTCCTCCTGTGTTTTTGCTCTAGGGTTATTTATTTTTCTCCTTGCTCCTTTTTTTTTCATTATTTAAGTCTGCCTCTCAGTTTTATATATATATATATATATATATTTATTTTTTTTTTTCCTCCTCTTGCTTTGACAATCATTTTCATTCTGAACCTGCTTTTCCCACAAAATCAAAAGGAACTTTATCTGAACACATTTTTCTTCCTTATTTGTGCACATCCGCCATGCCTTAAGAAAGGGAGTCCTGCTTTGCTGTATTGTTTCTTTGGAAATGCAGGATGTATCCCTCTCTGAGCCCAAGCAGTATGATCACTGAAGCTTTGGTCTGAGCTCCCAGGCCCATGGAGACCTTTGTTAGGTAAAGACCCTCATTAGGTAGAGACCCTCGTTAGGTAGAGACCTTTGTTAGGTAGGCAACTGGTATGTTTACCACTATTCGTTTTCTAGCTAGGGTAAGATTAAGTCATGAGACTGATGATATGAAGTCATTCTGCAGCATTTTCACAGACAAGCATCTCAGCTGCCAACAGGGCTGATGAAGTCATCTGCAAATTCAGAGAGTATTTCCCTATATATGGAAAAAACCCTTCAGTTATCAGCACGTGGTGGAAGAGGAAGCAACCCACGCCCATGGAGTCACTGGTAGGCATGGCTCTGCATTGTGCAACTCTCAGAGGCTGAGGTCAGCAGGCGCAGCACAGCCTGTTTTCGAGGAAAGCAGCCTTGCAGTGACTGAATCAATGACCCTGCTGCTCCTTCTCACTCCTTGATAACACGGGACTGTGTCAGCGCTCACTTTGTGCACTGAGCAGAACGCACGCATAAGGCTGAAGGGCAGTCCTGGAAAAGGGCTGTATAGTGCAGCCCAGGGCCTCGTGCCAGGAGCCATAAAGCACCATACAAACACGGGTAACCTCACCGCAGCCCAGTCAGGCTGGAAAGATAAATATTCCTTTCTTTTTAGCAGGAGAAATTTGAGGCCCAGATGAGCTCTGCCTATGGGACCATGCATAGTCTATGTGCCCAAGTGGCCTCACTTGCAGACGTCCTCAGTGCAGGGCAAAGAAAACACATCTTTCTTGCAAAGCAGCAGGACAGGTTATTTTTGGGTCTCTATAAATTGTCTCTGTTCTCCAGTGCTATTGCTCATACCATACCAGGGGAACACAACTGACCTAATTAAAGTCTCATTCCAACAGAACAAGACTCAACTGGTAAATACAAACTTTAAACAAAAAAAAAATCTTGGGTTCTTTTTGTGTACGTACAAGCTGATCTGCTTGGGATGAACAGCATGGAGGTGGGGGCTGGGAAGAGCAGGGTAATTAGAGTCACCAGGGAAAATGAACTGTGGAAACTGTGGAAACAGGGCAAATTTTCAGATTAATTTGTGGGACAGTAACTGAATCATGCAGGAGACCTTCTCCTCTGGGACAAAACCTTGTGTAACCTGACAGGAATTAGGAAATATTTTATCACCCACAACAGAGGGGACAAGGAAAGGAAGGATTCAGCATTTCAATCCTCCATCCCAGAAAACCCTCCCAGGCAGACAGGTGAAGGTGATGCCATTGATCCACACCACAGGAACAAGGGATGAAGGGAGGAGATACCTAAATTGCATAGAGCAGGTAAGGGTTAACCCAGCTAGCCAGGCTGCTCCAGCCCTTCCTGCTGGGTTTCTTGGTAGGGATCCTGCCCAAACACGTTTCCAGTGGCTCACATCCAGCTCTCACTGATAAGGAGCCAGTGACAGTGAATGAGCAGCAGCACTTCATGGCTCTCCCCATTCCCCACCTCCTTAAGAGCAATTAACACAGCACAAGCACACCTGGGCTGAGCCACCCGCAGGAGCCTTGCTGCTCCCAGGCCAGGAGGAAGGTGCTCTCAGGACATTTCCCCTTTCACTACCTTTTCTCCTACAGAAAACAGCACCTTCAGCAGTTTTAAGCATAAAAACCACAGGGCTTGGCACAGTATTGACCCTTCAGTGAAAGGAGAAACCCTGCCCAAGGTTTAAAGTTTGAGCCAGGGAGTAAACAGGACTCCTCCTCCTGCATCACATGAGCGCAGTCACAGCTGCAAGATAAAAAGCTCATATAGTGAAGCCCAAGCTGTGTGGGAGGAGTGCTGTCAGGCTGTGAGTTCGATGAGGTTCCTTCCAGACCTTTCCCCCATCACTTGGTTGCTCCTCATCACTTTCCTGAGCCTCCTGGTGCTGTAAGTAGTGACTGGTGGACAAGCACCCTGGTACAAAGTGCATTCACAAATGCTAAAAACCATTTTGGGGTGTTCCCATTTTGTTTGCAAGGCTGATAAGCAGGAGTGGGGGGGAGAGAGAAGGGAATCATGGCCCAGGGCAGCCAGCTGAGAGCATTGGCTGCCTGCAGAGACCTTGCACTGTCCTGGTGTTAGTGGGAAGGAATGGGGCTTGGGGAGGGCGTAAAGAAATTTCTGAGGTTTGGAGTGTTTTGTTCTGTTTGCTTTGCTGCAGAGATCCAGAAGCAGGAGCAGCTTTGCTTTTGCTGCAGCAAACTGTCTGGTTGCCTACGTCAGTCATAGGAGCTGTAGTAAACTACTCAGGTACACCCCAAGGTGGTCCTGGGGCCCTTGTAGAAGGAGAGCACCCTCAGCAGGTCTGCTGCTGCATGAAGCAGACCAACACTGCAGCCTTTCCTGTGTGGCAGGAAGCAGCTATCTAACCTACACTCAGGGTGAAGAGCCTTCTCTTCTCATTGCATAAATGCATCTCACACCCTGGCTTTGTTCTGCAGCTATGGGATATGGCCCTACCAGACCTTCAAGAAGCTGGGCATTCCTGGCCCACAGCCTGTGCCATTTTTGGGAACATTCATGGGGTATCGACAGGTGAGTAAGGGCAGCTGCTGCCCCAGGTCTGCTTTAGGTTCTCACTGCTGGTACTGCTTTTCCTGTACTTAAGACATCTATTTTCTCTGTCCTTGCTTCCTTGATGCTTGCAATGGTACAATCATTAAAGCTGGAAAAGACTGCTGAGATCATCCAGTCCAATACTTTCAGATAGGAAGCTCTACAAGTGTGTACAGAGAAATAAAATACACCTTTAGGCTCTGGCTGATCTGAATGAGGTATGTTCTGTCTTTCTCTCCCTTCACAGTTTAAGCTATCAGCTTCCTCCTAGATTTCTAGCCACGATCCAGCAGCTGAAAAGCTTTTGGAAACAAAGGAAGTAAGTGTCCTCCAGGCTGCTGCTTTGGGAGCATTGTGTGCTGAGCATCTGTGCTTTGGGTCAGTGCTCAGCAATCCCTGCCCAGTCACTCTCTGTTCCACAATCTCAAAACTCCAGTGAACAGATTTCTGTTCAACGCTGTAGCGTTTCCCAGTTAGCAAACCTTTCCAAATAACAAGGTGTTAGCCAGCTCCAGGTAACTGCCAGCAAATGCAGGACGAAATGTATTAGCTTCAGCTTCTATGAAAGAGGCATTTTCCTTTTTGTTTGCTGGGCTTACAGCATGGCATGTGCTAACTGGTTTAGGTGATGCATGGCACTGTGTGTTCCGTAAGTTTCACCCTCCCATCTCTACATTACATTTTCAGCTCTGGTTGGCTGGTGGAAGTTGGAAGGGCAGTTCACTTTCTCTGCTCTTTATTCCCTTCAGTGCCAATGTCCCTCAGTGTCTGTGTCTCCCCGGCCTCTGCCGGCAGCTTTGATCGCACTTTCTCAAACTGTTTGTTTCTTGTTTCCTCTTTTGCAGGGGCTCCTGAATTTTGATCAGATGTGCTTTGAAAAATATGGTAAAATCTGGGGGTGAGTTACCATTTGCAGAGCAAAATTCCCTGCAAATCTTCTGTTTGGGGTGCTTCTCTGTCCCAAAATAGAACATTGCCATTGTGTCCCCAGTGCTTTAATGCCAGCAATGACAAGCTGGGGCATGGGAAACATCCAGGATCACTCCTGGAAATGTCTACATCCATCTTTGCAGGGTTCTCCTGCTGGGATTTCAGTACAGTGCAGGGCTGGAATGATTGCAGCCAGTTCTGGAGACTTACACTTGTATAAGCTTTGAGAATAATCTTTTTTTTTTTTTTTTTTTTTTTTTTCTTCCCTCTTTCCTACTCTGGGATCATTCAGAACTCACTGTAGTGGAGTTAGTGACCTCAGGGCCAGGATCTCCCCATCCTCCAACACCCAGCACATCAGCGCAGCCGTGCCTTTATCTCTCAGCTCCAGATGCGTTAGTGTAGGAAGGCACCAATCACTTCCTAACCACGCAGCCTGCCCAGAAAACTCTGCTGCTGGTGTCAAACTGAGCCTCGAGCCTTTGAAGCCACTTTTCTGTCTGTCTGGAACAGAAAGCGAGCTGCAGGCTGCTGCAGTGCGTTTCATCCTGCTCCCTCTTCCCCCAGCACCAGGGCATGAGCTCCCTTTCAGCCTTCTCTCCCTGCTCTGCCCTGGTTCTGTGCAGGCAGGCACAGAGCTCTCAGCATGCTTCTCTTGGGAACCTCTTAAACCCAAGCCAAAGCATCACACAAAATCCATAGGAGCTTTATGAAAACCTAGCACAATTTTTGGGAAGATGAAATGTTCTCAAGCCTCTTGAAGATTGCAGCTTTCCTTGGCCGTGGCTTGAGGCTCCTGCCATTCAGCTTTCAAGTTTTTTGATTGGAAAATAGAAAAAACAGATGAGTTTTTCCCCCTCTCATTGCCTCATAGGCCACGCAGGGAGATCTCTTTCCCCCACAGGTAGGCTGTTTGGGGGGGTTTATTGACTCCAGCCACCAGTTGCTAAAGCTGCCTTTTATCTGAATGCACACTGCTATGAAAATCCTTCTGCAACAGCACAGTCGATGGTTAGAAGTGCTCATGCTGTCTGTGTTTGGCCCTGTCCTTTTTTCCCTCATCTCCTCTTTTACTGCATAATAAAACTGTTTCTCATCCCCTTGGCTGCTTTGTCAGAGGGGACGCAGCTGCGTGGACCTTGCGGGCTGCAGTGGTCCATGCACAGAGCAGCAGACTGCTTCTGTTCTGCGTGACTGTGAGCAATGCACTGACCATGACTTTCTCTTGGCTTAGGATTTTTGATGGCAGGCAGCCCATAATGGCTATTCTGGACCCCGGGCTCATCAAAACCATCTTGGTGAAGGAGTGCTATAGCACTTTTACCAATCGCAGGGTGGGTATCCGTTCTTCCCTCTTGGGTCAGAGATCATGCACCAAGGAATGAAAAGTTTCTTCTACTTCCGAGTCTCTCTGGGCCCTTCAGCAAGCAGCTGCTCTCTGTCATGCCCTGATTTATCGACAGTATTGCCAATGAAACTCTGCTGGAGCAGTGGGGAGGCCAGTCTGGCTGGAACATCAGCCTAGGTTCGCAGTGGAATTGATGTCCTGTCCACATCTTACGCTTTCGTTTCCATTTCTGTTTGCTGGTAGAGGTAGAGCTGCTATGAATTCAGGGGCCAGGTCAACACTCTGTTGTTGTTAGTTGTGGTGGGCTTTTTGCTTTTTTTGTTGCTGTTGTTGTTGTTTTTCCACTGCTATATTGTTAAAGGGATCTGGGAACCTTCGCCTGTTGCCCTGCATAACCATGTCACTTTTGCCGTAAAATTTTGCCTTTACAGGTCTTTGGTCTGAGTGGGAGACTGGAGTCAGCTGTTAGCATGGCTGTGGATGACCAGTGGAAAAGGATTCGCACTGTGTTGTCCCCAACATTCACCAGCGGGAAGCTGAAAGAGGTAAAGAAAAGCACTGACTGAGGTTGGAAGTAATACCTTCCCCATGCCCTCCTCCTCTCTCCTCCAGAAGCTGTAGACTTGATCACTGTGGCTTGGCAAGTTGCAGGTGGCCATGAAGAGTTGACCAGCCTTGCTTACAGGGTATGAAGGAGTCAATTTCTTCTGCTTTGTTTTGCGTTTCAGATGTTCCCTATCATTGAGAGCTATGGTGAAAAATTAGTGAAAAACATTGAGAAGAAAGTGGCTAACGAAGAGCTCTTGGACATGAAGAAGTAAGTAACCATGTGGGGCGGAAACAAACGTGTCTGTACTCAATGTGGCCATGGAGCCATTTGGAAAGCCATTTTGGAAAGTCATAGATGTGGATTTTGTTGTCATTTTCACAATCTCTTTTTACCGATGAGAATCAGGATGCTATCTTGGTTAACCTGTACCACGGTCCAGTGCTTTCCAACGATAGCCTAGGTTTTTTACACTGAGAAAAACCAGGGGGATGAATGCAAATGGGGGAACTTTGGGAAAATGCAGTGGTGGCTACGGTCGAATTGGGACAGGAGCTGCTGTGTTAGGAGTCTGCACTGAGTCCTTGGTTAAAAGAGTTTCCCTCTCAGGGATTTCTCCTAGACAGGCTGTTATTCATTACTCTGGGTTTGTTCCATTCACTCTCTTTTATTCTCTACACAGCATTTTTGGAGCCTACAGCATGGATGTGGTGGCCAGCACTTCTTTCAGTGTGGATGTTGACTCCATGAGCAAACCCAATGACCCCTTTGTCACCAACATTAGGAAATTTCTCAAGTTCAGTTTCCTAAGCCCATTATTGATGTTCATAGGTATGACACTCCTCATCTTATAAAGCCTTGAATTGGTCACAAGTGGTGACCACCTGCATTTCCTTTTAGCTCCCTTATCTCAGAGTCCACTTTGCTATTTGGGGGGAGCACTTTGCAGAATCCGATTCACCCCCCCAGGTCTATAGAAGTATTTCCCCAGGGAAATCAAGGTCAAGTTTTGTGCAGCTCTTGTGGGTCTTTGCTGCAGCCTCATACATGCAGAGATCCTGTTTGCCATGAAGAACTTGTGCTTCATACCACAGAGAGCTGCACTCAGTGCAGAACTGAGGGCATATCGTGATATGAGATCAGGAGACTGAAAGAGCTGAAGGCAGGGAAAAGCAATCTGTTGGGTATAGGTATAGATTTGTCCCACTTCTTTCTGTTAGTTTGGGGAGCCTTGCTCTAAATCCATGCATGTTCTTTTCTCACCTTCTAGTGTTGTTCCCCTTCATGATCCCAGTGCTGGAAAAGATGAATGTGACGCTGTTATCTAATGAAGTCATGGACTTCTTTGATGTCTTCTTCATGAAAATGAAGAAGGAACGGGAAAAAGGGTACCACATGGTGAGTACCCAGGTGGCCTTTTCTTTTCACTGTGCTGTTCTGAGCAGAGGTGGAACCTGGTCATGTCTTCAGAAGCTACGGTGGATTTATTTCCTTCTCTCTGTAGTGGCTCCCAGCTCATTAAATGTGGGGAGGACCAGAAGCATGCTCTACCTGGGCTTCCACATGGGGAAAGTCAATGCAGTCATCTGGTCTGAATCTCCAAGTGCTCTGAAGTTGTGGGGCTGGGTGCAGCAGGTCCCTCAGCATAGAGCTTGCACTGGACAAGATTTGGTTCCTCCCTCCCCTATCTTCTCTGACTGCCTCTGTTCCTCCCCAGGACCGAGTGGACTTCCTGCAGCTGATGATTGACTCACAGAGCTCACAGGATGGCTCCAAGTCTGCTGGGGAGAAGGGCTTATACAAATGTATGTCTTGAGATCTGTCCTCCTCTCAGCAGAGAGCAGATGGTTCTAGTTAAAGAGAGGATGTGGGAGAAGACTGTAGTCTTTTATTCTATGGGAGTCTCAAGGTTGCAATAGCAGGGCCATAATAATGCTTATTGCATATGAGTCGTATCTTATTATATCTCATTTCCCAGGATAAATCCCAAGGGCTGTTTATCCAACAAAGAGCAAAGTCCTCTCTGAAGGCCAGTGATGTTGGCTGTGCTTTGTAAAGCACACAAAGCCCATATGTTGCATGCACCTTCCTCATCTACAAGCTCACCTCTGTTGCTCATCCTAGGTAAACTGTTGGATTCGAAAAATAATGGATCAGCCAAGGCAAAGCCCAGTTCATCAGCATCTATCTAGGCAGGAAGCTTGTTAACTTGTGATCTGCAAGGACAGGATATTTGGATGTTGCCCCACGCTGCAGCCTGCATCCTGGCTGCAGTACCAGTGTGGAATTCTGTACCATCTCTATTACTGCTGCCACAGGGCTACTGATCCCTCAGCAGTATCTGGCTGAACTCAGAGCCCAGAGGAGCTGCTTGGCATCTCCTCACCTCTAATTTTTCCCAGCACGTGCCCATATTTTGTTTTTTGCCCAGGAAGCACGCTTCAAGGAGATAACAGATTTTCTAGATGAGGATCAGGCTATGCTGAGCTTCACCAGTTTAATTCTGCTTTCAAAGGCAGTGAACTAAGACTGCCAAACTTGACAGTGGTTCTCTGGCTTCACACCAGTGCCAGGCTGCTGACCGTGTTGCCAGAGGCTGCCAGTCCATGTCAGCTGGACAGGTCCTCTATCAGGTATTAGGTAGTTGTCATCCAGGTAATGCTGTTGATAAGTAGGATCTTGGATTCCTGAAGGTTAATCACTTTTGTGCTGTAGATTTCAGCTTCTTACATGTCTTTGTGCCTCTTCTCAGCATTAAGTGATGAGGAGATTCTGGCCCAGGCTCTTACCTTTGTCTTTGCTGGTTATGAAACCACCAGCTCCACCCTCAGCTACGTCTCCTATCACCTGGCCATGCACCCTGATGTGCAGAAGCGACTCCAGGATGAGATCGATGCAAACTTGCCCAACAAGGTGAGTGGTGAGATGCTGGGGTCATTCCCACCTGCACCTTGGAAACCCTGCAGGGCTGAAGCCCCGTGTTTGCAGCCATTTTGCAAGTCTTCCTCTCCCCCACATCCCCAGGCTGCTCCTACATACGATGCAGTTATGCAGATGGACTACCTGGACATGGTGGTGAATGAATCCCTGCGGCTGTACCCTGCTGGGGGGCGGATTGATCGGATCTGCAAGAAGACAGTGGAGTTCAATGGGGTGACCATCCCAGAGGGCATGGTGGTCATGATCCCAATCTATGTGCTTCACCATGACCCGGCATACTGGCCCAAGCCAGAGGAATTCAGGCCTGAGAGGTGAGGACCAGGTGGGGGACAGCTGCACGTTTAACATGATTCCTGGCAGGGGACATGGCAGAGAAAGCGGGGAATGCGTGATTATAACATTAAATTAGGCATTTATCAATGTCTGACATCTAGTCCCAGCATTACTGCGAGGGGAGTTTTATGATCTACATCCATAAACTGTGCATGGAATTTAATTAACTGCATTGAAGGAAGCGACAGTGAGAGCAGCTCCCAGCAGCTGTAACGTTGAGGGGTTTATGGTGAGATATTAAAACGAGAGCCATTGGGTGACTGGCATAACGCCATGCAAATCAGCAATGGAAGGGCAAAGATGGGTAGGAGATAAAACCTAATTTTTCAACTCCAGTTATGAAATAATTTCTGTATAGGAGGCTCTGTTAGCCCCTGAAAAATGAGGCAACAGCCCAAGGCAGACTTGGGACATCTTTAGCTGGCCAAGAAGACATTGAGGGCTGGCCCAGAAGTCTGTGCCCTTGATGCTAACTCCAGTATGCAGATTTGTTTGCTTTTGAGACATAGCATGGCAGAGGCATCATGAAAAGCTTAGGGGTGGAGATGGGTCCTGCTGGGATCACCACAAACCACCAGGACCCAGGAACACTGCCTTGGCTGCAGCCACTCCAATGGGAGAACTCTGGCAATGGGCATGTTGCACCTCAGTTATTCCAGCAGTTTAATCCTTACACCAGGTGACAAATGGAAAGGGCAGATGGGCATGGACTCTTCAGGAATGGCTTACCTCACTGGGAGTTCATCAGAGGGTTGTGTTGGTGTCTCAGTAGTGAGGTACTTCACTGCTGACTTAATGTGGCCAGACCTCAAGCACTGGGAGTGAAAGGCTTTCTGACATGAAAACCAACTGATCACTAAGAAGTATTACTAAAATGCTCAGTGGCGAATTCCTCTGTGAAGCTGATTGTTCTTCCCTGTTTTTCATGATGAGGAGAGGAATGGCTGACGTGTCTCAAAAGCAACCCTCCCTTTAGTCACGCAGGGGGGGGATGTCTTTGTGTTCTCTCTGTCCTTTGATCTGAAAGGAAGACGTGAAGCTGTAGACCTGTGCGTTTCAGGGTTTGAAATTTGGGCTCAGCTTAGAGGGAGCTCTGAGAAAAGAGTAGTTATGAAATCGTTAGCATATTTCTGGTCTTCACCTGATGCACCTGGAGATTCACGGCCACCTCCAAACAGCTGGATAAAAACAGAGGAGTAAGGTGTCTGTTGGGACAGGAAAAAGGGTCTTGGCTGCATTCTTTTCATATGCATGGAATCGCAAAAAGCTTTTGCCTTCCCAGACCCCTCATTGCTTCAAATCTGAAAGCTGACATATCCCGGAACGACAGTTCTTTCCAATCTTATTCATTTATGTTTTCTGTAATCAGGTTTAGTAAAGAAAACAGAGAGAACATTGACCCCTACACCTACCTGCCATTTGGGGCCGGCCCCAGAAACTGCATCGGAATGAGATTTGCTCTCCTCGTCGTTAAAGTGGCTGTGGTTGCCCTTCTACAGAACTTCTCTTTCAGACCCTGCAAAGACACTCCGGTGAGAATACGGGATGATGTGTCATTATCTGTGCTCTGTTCCCACTGGGATGATCCTCCGTGCTCTCTTTTGTCTGCGTCTCAGGACAAGTAGGGATCTGACTCACTTACACATTAAATCCCTCTCATCCCCAAGATACCTATAACTTCAGGACCACTGAAGCTTGTCTGTGGGTTTGGGTTTTGCTGTTTCACGCAGAGACCAGGGAGGAAGATTTCACTGAGGATTAGAGAGGCGTGTGGGAATATCTGCATTTAAATGCTCTCAGTTGTTTTAAATGCTTCAGCACAACTTACTGATACTTTTTTTTTTTTTTTCCAGCCTCTAGAGAGGCAGATTAAATGTTGGTGGGATGCATCAGGCTCAAATCCCTGAAGTGTTCTGCTTTGCTTTGGGTGCAATTAAGCACTGGGGTGCTTTCTGCCTGCTGTGCCCTGCTGGTCTGTCCTGACCCAGCTTAGGCACAGCAGATCTCCTCCCCAGCCCGCTCCAGGGCTGTGTTTTGCAGCATAAACACGGCCAGCAGCAGTGAGGCCCTGAGACAGCAGAACACATCTCTTATGGGCCACCAGGCAGCCTCTAAAGCAGAACAGTTTTTGAGCAAATATGATCTGAGCTAAATTTGAAGTGGTGGCCCTCTCCTGCTTTCAGGCTATGCAGGCTGAAGGGCGCAGAGGTGAAGCAGGAGCAAGTTCCCTCCTTCCCACCCATTTTTGGGTTTGCATGGGCTCCCACACTGTGCTGGTGGGAACAGCTGTGCAGAACAGAGCTGCTCAATGCTGAAGCAATGCGATGACTGCTAGGAATTACCCATCAGCATGTCCTGAACACATGGCACCTCCCTGTGATGCAGACAGCTCACAGTCTTCTACTGCTGCTCCTAGCTGTGAGCACTGGGTGCCCAGCCCTGACGTGCTTTGCTGCACCACCTGCCACCAAAGGTCATGCCATTAATGTGTTTTGCTCACTAGGTGAGCTTGGAGATTGAAACAGAGGGAGCACAAGTGTATTCAAAGGACGTTTGCTGTATGAAACAAAAATACTCATAGAATTATTACTTGGCACAAGTGCTCGGCTGGAATCTCTGCAGGTTCAGATTGCTACTCAACTGCTAACCTGGAGGTGAAAGACTGTAATAGTCCATTAACAATGCAGTGACCTATCCACCCTCCTCCAAGTCTAATGACATTTTTCTAGTCCTCTGCAATCCATAAAATTGATTATTTTTATAACTGCCTTTAATTAAAGGGAGGCAAGTTAAATATGTATTGTATTATTGGTGGCCATAGGTTTATGGGGCTCTTTCAGGCTCATCTTCAGAAAGTGTCATGTATGTTGGATCAGAGGGGGAGGGAAAGATTCACCTGAGAACATCCTTTTGGAATATATGTATGGATGTCTCTGCCTCCTCACACCCCCACTGATGGTACACTGGGCTCAGAGCCATGTTGCTGAGATTTCCTGAGGCTCACTGGGATGTGGGGCTTTTAGGGCAGCATGTAGGGCTGGGGGAGCACTGTCTTTGTCCTGATGGGGAGAAGAACAGCTGGGGCATGAGCAGCATGTCCTACAAGTTGCCTCCCTCCATCACCAGTTTCCAGAGTGTTATAGTGAGATTTCCACCCCAGCAGAGCTCAGCACTTTTCTGTGTAACACTTGTTCCTTTAGACTGATCCCAAATATCTCTCTTCATTTCTTCCTTCCCAGAGAGCTTATTGCTCCTCCTGCTCCCATTACAGCCTCACTGCCCTTCGTGGTGACACATTTTGGCATTAAACAAAATGGCACCAGTGCCCCTCTTTGGCTTCTGCTCCCTGGATGGATTCTGGCTGCTTTTGCCTCATTTCAGTAGCGTGCTGAGCTCCTCTTACAGCCCCAGGTGGATGCTGGCATTCACTAACCACTTGGTTCAAGAGCTGAGGGCTGCTATCCCCCAGCTCACAGCTGTTTTATGTGCACAGCAGTGATAGCTCTGCAATAAACACAGCTGTAAAGCCAGGCGGTGCGCTGCACACAAGGGGTGGCTGAGATGCGTGTGGGCTGGAGGGGTGTTTTCTATGACGTCAAAGTCCTTTTGCCCATCTTGAATGGCACTTCTGTGTGCTGTTTGTTTCTTTTTTCCTCAAGATCCCCCTGGTTCTGGACACAAAAGGTTTCATGCAGCCAAAGAAGCCTATTGTCTTGAAGATGGTCCCCAGAGCCCATGGCGATCTGCAGAACTGAAGGAGCTGTTCAGAGACTTTCAATCAATGGTGCTTTCCCTGCCCAACTCTGGAAAAGAGATGCAGATTGACGCTTGCACTCTTGAAATGTCAGTGATGCAAATCCCTATTTTGACATGGGGCGTTAGGGGTTTGGCCTAGCATAATTAAAAGAGCATTATCCTAATGAAAATTCCTTGGCCTCAGATCCTGCTGTCCCAGACCACAATAGGCATTTTGCAAGACCATTTGCGCTCAGGTTATTTGGGTGTTTTTTTTTCCTCTCCCTCTGAAGAGGCACTTTGCTCAGCAATTTGATTCCAGACACTGTCAGTCTCTTCTGGCAGTGTAATTTAAATCAAGATAGGGGGAGCGAATAGCACATAGTTAAGTAATGCTACCATTGCTCCTGCTTCTACTGCCTGCTGGGCAGCTCTGTGTATCTTCTGGTTTTATTCTCCTGGGGATGTGGGTTTTGTCCAGGGCTATTTCCTCAGCTATGTGCTCTGACCCTGACAAGTGTTCAAGTGGTCATGTCCTCGCAGGGATGAATGTCTGTCGTAAATTTTCTGATACTGATTTATTTAGATTTTCTTGGGATTTCATGCGTGATTCAGATTGCAGACGAGTTAACTGGTGGAGCCCAGAGACAAGCAGTTGCCCCTAATGACTGGAGCTTTGTGGAGTGAGAGAGAAGTGCCCTGCGTGTTTTGCTGCTTGTTTGCTTGTTTCACCCCAGGCACACAGCTGTCTCTCGCACTAGTGACTGTCAGTATAGGCAACATCTACTGCACTGCCACTGTGACACCTTTTAGTCTCTGACGTGCATTAGGCCACCGTAGGACAGAATTAACTGAATTAATGATGGCACAGGGTGCAGCACTGAGAGCCTTCAGATGTCCTGGACAGCCCTGGTCTAGCAGAAAAATGTTGCTTTTGGCTTTTGAGGACAGGGAAGTCTTCCCCATCCTTTGTCCTTGTTTCATGTTCTAGAGGACGTAATGCTCTGTGCTGTCCCGTCTCCTTCAAGCTGCTGATGAGAAGCTAATCACAATAAAATGCTCACTGCCTCTTTCACATAAAATTGAAATCAGTCTCTTGCTTCTGCTCTGTCCTCTGTATACAGATGAATCTACCTGTAGGTCTCAGAAGCTTTTGGCCACAAAATGATGTGGTCCCATCACTGCTCCTAGCAGGGCTTCCTCATTCCTTAGGAGCAATCTTCAAAGCATCTCTGCCTCAAAAATCAGCACTACTTAACGGATACAGAAGCCAACTTTTGCAGCTTGTTTTTTTCACCATGTTATCTCAAGACAAATTGCTGGAGGTGCTGGCTTGCTTGTCTCAGCTGGACATTTGTCTTGCTGTGAGAGCAGAGAGCTCTGATTCCTGTGCCTGCTCCATGCTGCAGACCAGCTGGCTCCACACAGAGTTCTAAGTGCTTTCCATGATCTCTCATGCACCTGCTCCAGAGCACCCTTTCACAGCCGGATCTGTTCTACTTCCAATCTGTTGTAGTTCAGGGCTGGGTGAGATACTTGCACCTGTCCCAGTCACTACTGTGTGTAATCAATGCTGCTTGGATTCCTGAGGGATGAAAACTCACAGGCTCACATAATGGCAAGGGTTGGAAGGGACCTGAAGGATCATGAAGCTCCAACCCCCCCCCCCACCACAGGCAGGGCCACCAACCTCCACATTTAATACTAGACCAGGCTGCCCATTAAGGGCGTGAACAGGCAGAGCAGAGCCAGCTCCTGCAGGGCTGAATGCTGGCTGCCCTGTGCTCTGTTCCTATGCCTGCTCTTACATGCAGGAGCCAGGCATAAATTTGGGGAATCCAGCTGTCATAGTGAAAGCACATCCATTCCAAAGCTCTCCTGTATGTGGTGTCTGTGTACCATTGCTGGATGGCTAAGGAAAGGACCATTTAATCATGCTGGTTAGGTGCTACCCCATCCAATCTCAGCAGATAGGCAGCAGCATCCTTACAGCTGATCCATTTGGATGCTGCAGTGTGTGTGAAAACTCATTATATCCCCAATGAATGTAAGGTGTTGGCTTGTGTGCACTGTCAGTAGTAAGAGCTCATTCTAGAGGTGTTCCATTTAAGATGCTCAGTCCAAAATCATAGAATCCTTAAGGCTGGAAGAGATCTCTAAGATCAAGTCCAACTGACAACCCACCCCCACCACAACACCCAGCCATATCCCTCAGTGTCACAACCATATGATTCTTTAACACCTCCAGGGACAGTGGCTCCACCACTCCTCTGGGCATTCCAACACTTGAAATAAGTGACAGAGCAGAGCGATTGGTGGTGTGAAGTGGTCTCCAGTGCAAAAATGGGCTTAGGAACTTCAGTCACTAGAGAGCAGTTGTTCTCCTTTCTATATTGCTTTTCTGTTCTGATATATTGTTATTATAGTTAGATTGTATGTATATTATTATATACTGTTCTTTTATTTCTTTCTATATTTTATATTTTCTTTTTATATTTTTGAGGCGTTTAGTCAAAAACCCCCAGAGACACATAAAAGCCTTTCTGCAGTGGATTAAATTCCCCAGTGAAAGTCATCCTTGCCTGAAAGGGTAAGGAAGAGCAAGGCTGTTTCCCTTGAGAGTCAACGATGAGCTGCGAGGGAGGGCGAGAAAATTCAGCTTCCCCCTCTGCCTTTGTGAGCTGCAGCAGCACATTGCCCTTCTAGACTTTGCACAAAGGCAAGAGTTCATCTTCACTTTCAGATGTTACCATCCCCCCTTTCAAAGCCATGGCACTGTGTTTGACTGCGGCCACGACAGCACATCTCCAGGGAGAACAGCAAAACACAGAGGCGGTCAGAAACCTGGGAACAAACAGCAGCCAAGCAACTCCGCCGCCGCAGCGGGTGACAAAAAAGGGGCACGGGAAATCCCAAGGGTTGCTTGGAGGGGTGACCGAGGAGATGAGGGTGATGAAGTAACGCACAGCGTTGCAGGTCAGGGAGGCATTAATGACCTGACCAGGATAAAGGCTGTAGCTTGATCAGTGGCGGTGATGGAAGTCACGAGCCATGCGAGAAGGGTTTTGCCTTCTTGCTCCGTGCCCGTATTGGAATTAATCACTTGCACACAAATGTCAACACTGCAGAAAATATCCTTTGGGATAATCTCTCTCATAAAGCCGCTTAACATTTTAGTAATAAACAGTTCACTTCCAGGTGTCAAAGGATTGCAGCCTCTCTCATCTCTGTTCAAAGCATCTCCGTCTGCCGGCACCCAGCATTTCTTCCCTGCTCCAACCAAGCGTAGGAGCATGGATTTGCCTGCCTGGATCCTGCCCTCAAGCTGGTGGCACTCTGCCTTTATCTCCAGGCGTCTGCGATGGGTTCTGGCAAGAGACAAAGCAACACTGAGGCGTGCCAAATCCCAGCTCCATTTTGCTGAATTTGGGCACCTTTAAGAACAGTGAGAGCACCTCTTTGCTGTTTCACACTTGGGCTTATAGGAAGCTTCAGGCAGTGAAGGTGATCTCCCTCCTGCCTTCACAGAGATGAGGTTTCCAGCAACACTGTGCCTCAGTTTACTTGTAAGCACGTAACAAATTGTTTCTGACTAAGCAATGGTGAGATACGTGAAGCGTGTCTGCTTTTGTGTCACGCTTTGATTCAGATCCCAACGAGGTCAAAGAGTGATCAAGTGGGTTTCCTTTTGGATGGTACTCAACCAGAAGTGCTTCAGGAGCTTATCTAATGTGCTCCAGCTGCTGATGGCTCAAAGCAAGTCCCCTGCTCCCCTGAAATTCGTAAACGATCTCTATATGGCCCTCAGCAACAATGCCTTTGATCTTGTTTCCTCCTCTCATAGCACAGTGCTGCTTCCTAACGCAAACACAGCGTAGCAACAACTCCTGCAAATCTCTTATTGATCTAAGGAGAGCTCACCACAGAGCTGCAACATCCAGTCCCAGCCCCATTCACTCGTTTTTCAATCCTTTAGGCTGTTTCTGAGCAAGAGCACCCACTGCAATTCATATGGTGCTTGAAGTCAC